TAAACCCTCGCAGTCTTCCTCTGAGTCCACACTTTTGTGACATAATGCCGCTTTCTTATAATAATTAATTTCATAAGCTCATTTCATACTAACGATTCCCCTCTGCTCACAAGCACACAACTTGAAATTGTTTGTATTCAGCTTTTCTCTGACAAGCACTCTCAAAATCCTTGTGTGCCAACATGTTAACTTACTAAAGTACACTGACTATAAGGCTGTTAGTGTAAATCAAGCTCACTGTCACTTACTGCAGCAAGACACTTTAACATTTTCACAAGGGCTCTTTACTAATAAACATCAGTCAGCTCTGCTTCAGATCACTCCATAAATGTACTTCACAGCAATAAAGCTTATAAGATGGCGTAAATGTGTTTATAAAATGTCGTGTGAATCAAGTTTTTTCCAATGCTACAAACCTGCTAGTATTCCAGTATTGACCATTTCCAACTTTCACCATAGCTATATGCAAGTGAGTTAATACATTCCTTGTAAATCAACAGTCATTTCTCATGTGGCAAAATAAATGACTATTAAATTACTCACAATAGCTTGCTTCTTGTCATTAAGTCTTTAATGTAATTAATTTCACTTTGTAAGACTGATCGATACTGGGTTTCAACATAAAATGACCTATAATTCAGTGCCAACCAACAAAATTACATTACATTTCATCTTAAAGTCCCAACAGACAATCTATGTACAAGGATGAATTGATTTCATTCAGACTTGTTTGCGAATTTCCAATTTGTTTTTGTAAATTAGATTTGCAAGAAAAATTGGAATCTCATGAGAATGCTGGAAAGTGCGGAAACTTTGTCTGGAGTCATAAAGACTAGTTTACATGCTACATTATTAAATAAAAGTGTTGAAAACAAATGATTTGTCATCTACATACACAACATAAGGTAAGTCAATTCTTGGCAATCATCTCGGTAACAACCAAGTGTAGAGATTTTCCACTCGGTGCCAATTTAGCTTCTTATAAATAAAACAAGACTGTAAGTAAAACGTTAAATAGAAATGGAATTTATTACAAACAGGCAAGTAAACTATAAAAATGTGATTCGTTCTTTTAACTGGGCAGGCCTTTTTTTTGGCTCATTTACATGTAAGGCGGGGCTTCCACTTGTCTATCAAAAATGGGATTGGCCCTTTTAACTGGAATGCGTTACTACAGCCGCAATAGTAGGCCTATGTATGGACATTCCATTCTCACATCCCAGTTATGTAATGAATTAGTTTTCTTTGCTATATATTAGCATGTTAATTCACAACTGACTGAAAATACACTAAAATGTGCTATTGATGTGGTGTTATTACGGCCATTTGAAGTCGCCAGGATCCTGTCAGACAGCGGCTCCAGTGCGCCCTCTGTTGACTGCATTTAGTCTGCTGTTATTTAGGTGAGTGTTTCAAACTTCCTTCAAACTTTACTGAGAAACTTACAATACTACACAAGAAGAGGATAGATAGATAGATAGATAGATAGATAGATAGATAGATAGATAGATAGATAGATAGAGATAAAGACCTTCTTCAAATAAAAATGAATCATACATCTAAAAGAGGACGATCGAGAGCCAATTTCGCTGATGCCTGAGGAAAACGGGAACAGCACTAATAGTGGCTGGATTGGACACACTGTCCTTGCAATGTGAGTTCCAGTAAAAACCCCTGTGTGGCGAACACAGATGCACTGCCAGTCTGCTCTTGTCAAAACTGTCCCCAGGGGTGACAGGCAGTAATTACATATCAGCACAATTACTGCGCAGTGCCATGAGAACAGTCCGCTGGTACACCGGATCTCTGCATCTGCTCATTACCGCAGTAAAACTCATTGTGTAATCCAGCGGTAACCGTCTGACTGCGGCGGCTGCATAACATTTCCACCGCCGTCCCATTCAGCACAACAGCTTTATTTGACCAACAACTCTATCTAGCCAAATCATTGAAATTAAAGTCAACAAAGTGTAGGCCTATTTATCAAATGCACCAGTGGCCAAACAAACTGTTCAAAGCGTAATAAAGTATCATGACAAAGCTGATTTCTAAAATACAACTGTTCAGTCATGACGGAAAATTTTCGGTCGACCTGAAAAGTTTCCAAATATGTGACATATTTCCAGAGATTTGGATCAGCTCGTTTGTGGTAATGATGAAAAGAAATATTTTTTAGAACAGCAGCAAGTTTATAAAAAAAGGTGACTGGGCTGAAACGTATCCTTGTATTGAAACTGGAGAAAAGAGACATTTCGAAACATCATTTCACCGCATACTTTCGCTTGCCACAGGACCTTTTATGTCCTATAGGCTAATGTGTCATATTTACGCATGATAATCAGTGCAGCTTTCAGTGGGAGGGCTGATTGAAGTTATTAATAAATAAACATGGATGAATGAAAAAGTATGAGGGGATGTGTTTGATATTAAAAGGAACTATTAAAATGCAATAAGCTGTGAAAGAGAATTGAATACGCTACTGGATGCCTTCTGTATGCGGGCTCCAAGTGGAACACGGACAAGCGGTCAAATAGCCTACACGCAACCAGTCTCAGTGGCGTCACAATAACACCAGTTCTAAATATTCCTAAACATTCAGCGGTTTTCCCGTGGAATTGGGGTACTTTAACTCTGTTGCCACAGGTTGTTTTTTATGTCCATGAGTCGAAGCGACTTCAATTACGTGGTATTTAGCCCCTGGAATATGAATTTTACCAGGGGAACCCCGCCAACAGACATGCATATATATATATATATATATATATATATATATAGTGGAAAAAATAATTAATTAATTAAACCATCCACTAAAAATATGTGGAAAAAATATTTAACCAAACATGAAAACAAAGAAAATAAATAAAGGCTCTGGTCAAAAAAGGTTCCTGGCCACTGGTGCAGACAAAGCAGGAAATGATTCATTTTTGACACAAGTGACAAGCCAGAACAGTTTCCAATTTACAGTGACTCAATGAGCAAACAGAGACATCTAGTGGCATCTTTCTACGCCTTTTTAAACCTCGATAATTAGGCTACTCTGAGCTAATATTATTACCATAGCAACTGAATCTATCCATGTTCTTCTATTTTTGGAACCCACACAACATAGGGTGTGGGCCCACTTATCTTCATTTTCCTTTAATGCATCTTCAAGGGAATTTAAATGAGGCTGTCATCAGTTAAAGCATGCTATTTATGTAATTGTTTGTTCTATTGCATTATGTTTATTAACACTGTTTATTGACACTAGTATTCAGTGCAAATTAGCATGTTTCCCAAATACACCACAAAATAATTTACAAATGCCTCTTACATTACTGTTTACAATCCACGACATCATGTTTTCATCTTGAACCAAAATTGTTGAGAAGTGCAAATGTCAAGTCTATTCTTCTTATTGTAGCATGTAGCACAGTTTTATTTAATTGTATTCAGTAAATAATGTCAAACAATATAGTTGGGATTATTGCTCAAAGAAAAAAAAAATTTTAGGGCAATTTTTGGTTTAATTGCCCTAAGACTAGCAAGTACTTTCCCAGAAATTGTAGGATGCACAGTCAGCTAGTACAGCATCTGTGTGGAGTGGCAGTAGTAACAATACCACAATATACCAATACATTTTTGAACTTCGAATTGAGCAGGAATTATAAAAAAAAAAAACATTAAATATTAGCTACAAGAAAACATAATATGCATAAATGGCTTGTATAAAAACGGTGTACATATACTAAAGAATGGGGTTTACACTTTGCAGTGAATGTTAGTTGGTTTATTTGAAATGCCAATATTTCACTTAAAAACCGATACCTGTAGTATTGGCTACAGAAAAGATATTAAACATTTTCACTTTTATTGCCAATGCAAAAGATACAGTTCTTTGAATACATGTTATCCGAACTCTGTGACATTTATAAATATGCGTGTCTTGTAATTTGAGATATTTCTATAGAAATGTACACCGGACTTCAGAAGTATGATCCTTTCAATATTAGACATATTAAACCATCTTTTACAATTTGAAGTCATCATACAGATTTCTGTCATTTATTAAACAGAATGTAATGTTTTAAAGTGGGACAATAAAACAGCAACCACAAAACATACAGATTCCTTTATCACAATCTAATAATGTTGTTTTTTAAAGTAATCTTTACTTGTCTGTTATCATCTGTTTGTTTCATTTTGTAACTTTGAACTTATTTCTTAATATAAAATATGTTTAGTTTGACACATTTTGATTGAGAAATGGTAAAAAAAACAAAAAAACACCTAGATTGTGATTTATTCTTTTGACTGTTTTCTTGTGGCAGAAATTACAACATCGCTCAAACTAGAAATTCACTTCATGTTCGAACATTTTTTCCATGGTCGATTCGATGTCAACGTTCCTCTACGAATACAAGATATCGTTTATTTAAAGGGGTCCTATTATGCTTTTTCACTTTTTCAACTTTAGTTAGTCTGTAATGTTGCTGTTTGAGCATAAAAAAGATCTGCAAAGTTACAAAGCTCAAAGTCCACTTCAAAAGGAGATATATTATTTAACAGAAATCACTTTTCAAAAACTACAACGAACGACTCGTTTGGACTACAACGCATATTTTCTGGGATTTGTGATGTCACAAATATCGACGAATGGGATGAGACCTGGTTGAGCTGCACTAGAGAAGGCAACGAGTGTTATCACTATTGGAGACACGCTAGCTTTCCCAAAGCAGACGAACTTAGAGTGCTTACAATCATCCGGGTTTAAATCACGCACAAATTGATTTGATTTTGACGCAATATTTACACTGAAGCTCGCAGGCGGTTATGGTAAGGGGCGTGACATTTCCCGACCAGGCGCCGAGTGCTGCCAATCACAAAAATCAAGACTTTGTAAAAGAGCATAATAGGACCCCTTTAAAAGATGCACTGTGTGTTTAAAGAAACACTAGACTCCGCCCACTACAGTGAGAGACACGCCCTGCTCCATCATTTGGGAGGAGCTATATGAACAGGACCAGCCTCTTTCTAACAAAACACAACGCCGAGAGTCTTCTCAGTATCAAAGGCTATTATCAATAACATCGATCGACTCCGGGGCCTAATACGGAGAAAGGTAATTTTATTTTTCATAATAATCCATTAACGTGATTAAGGATGCTGTGTGGTTCTGAGCGAAAGCACATGGATCATGCATCCTCGTCTTTAGCAGGGCTAACAGTCACAGCATTATTGTCGACGTTCATCTAAAGAAAGTTAGTCAGGGATTGTCCTTATATTCAACCCCAAAATACACCGCGTTCATGTTAGTCATGCATTAACCTCTATAGTATGAAATCTAGGTAACTGCATGCGGATCTGCGGCTCGCGCGTGCCAGAAGCCATGCACGCTGCCAGAAAATATGGTTCATGCTCACGTGGAGTGAATGCCAAACTGCATTTAAATATGTGTTTTCCCATGACATTCTAGCCACGTACGTTGTTGTTAGTATGGGAGATTGTTTCACTGCGCAGATGACCTGTAGTTTTAATATTATGTAGGCCGTATTGGTGGATCCCGTCTTTGTCTCGCGCCCGAGCACCAGAGCACGAGCGAGTCTTTCGTGCAACTCTCAGCCAGCTGTTGGTTTGAGTCCAGACACTGATTCCCAGGACTAGGCTAGCCAACTGTTGTCTTTATGTGTCCAGAGACGAGTCTCTTAAGATCACAGTATGAAATGTAATGCTTAAACTGCCAGCGTTTATGATTATAGAGATGCACTGACATGCACAATTGAGTGAATCTTGTCCAGAACATGTCCAAGTCCAGTTTCATCATTTAATTAACGGAAATGAATACAATTATGGTTTGCTTAAAGAAAATAGTTTTTTTTCATCATATTAACATTGTTTGTGACTTATAAGCACATTTCCTCTGTTTCTTGTTACTGTAGTACAGAATCATGTCTCATCATGATAGTATTTATTGTTCTACAGTACCTTTCATTTATGCTGATCTAGTTTAAAACAGTGCATCACAGCATTGGTTTTACTGAATACAGTAAATTTTAGTCCTGTTTCATCATTTTAATCAACGGAAATAAATACGACAATTAAGGCTTGCTTATAGAAAATAGATTTTTTCATCATATTAACATTGTTTGTGATTTATACGCACATTTCCTCTGTTTCTTATTACTGTAGTCCAGAATAATCTCATCATGATAGTATTTATTGTTCTACCTTTCATTTATGCTGATCTAGTTTAAAACATTGCATCACAGTATTGGTTTTATTGAATACAGTAAATTACAGTAAAGAGAATCTCATGACTCACTATTACTGTCATGAGAATGAATGTGAATTGCAATATGAATTTTGATGGAAAATTTGTGTATTTGTCATGAAAATGTCATAATGCAATGAAATGGTCCAAACATACCAATAGTGAAACATGCAGATGTATTAAGGCAATGACAATTGTTTTTTTGTAAATGCAAAATATCATGCAAAAATCAGTTTTGCATATACTGTGACACTGCAGAATGATTATGTCCTAGAACTCTTACGATTCTGAGAGATTTGCACAAACATGGGCGTTGGCAGACATTTGCATTGGGATTGGCCAGTGGGTTGCATGGTAATTCAGTGTGCAGCAGTGCAGTGTAATACTTCTAAAGGACCAAAGGCCAATTTTTTTTTTCAGACACATCAGCAAACCTTGTAACCGCTGCTGAGCTGTCCTTTCCGTCCTTTCCTAAATAATGTGGCACTTTTCCTTGCATCAGCTTATGTTAAGATGAGTTTGCCAAGCCATGTTTCCTTCGCAATCCTCCCTAAATCTTTTATTGCCGTTAAAAAATCTTTTTTGACACATTTAATTGGTATTACTATCATTGCTGCTGGTTGATTATTGGATGCTTACATGACCACTTCCATTCTCGGCAGTTTATGAAGAGTTCTTTATCACTCAAATGAATTCTGATGTAGTCAGGTTGGTTGAACTGTCATTGCTGTAAGCTGGATGCCAGAATCCAAATCGTCTTAAAGTAGTGTTTTTTTTTTTTTTTCTATCTCTCTCATTATCTGTAACTCTTCCACACGTCATGTTTTCCCCTTTCTCCTCTCCTGCATCTCTCTGCGTCTTTGCAGAACATGTACCAGGAAGGAATCGCATGAGATGGAATGTTCTTGAAATGCTGCGTCATCGCTGAAGGTGAGTGAGACTGTCAGCTCTTTGAAATCTAGATCAGCCTGCATTTGAGGACTCCGATCACTATGTAGTTGAATCATGCTGTGAATGTTCCAGTGTTGCCTAATTGTAGTGATTTAACCTACTTTTCTGCTTGTTTTGCCAGTTTGTCTGTTTTTGTATCATTCTGGTATTTCTGGCATGGTGAATGTTGCTCTGTTAAGGGTTTTGTTGAAAGCACTTTTTGTTTAAAATTGTGCTTGTGAATTTATCATAAAAATGAACAGGAATGCAGTGAGTGACTTGGCATTAAAGGAATGGTCCACTCAATTGAAATTCTGCCATTAGTTACTCACTCAAAATGTTGTTCCAAACCTCTTTTTTTTTTTCTCAATGAAACCATAAAGAAATATCCTTAAAAAAAAATTTGAACAACCTGGCTTTCTTCAAGCTATCTTCTGAAGTCATCTTTCTTTACTCACCTTCATGTTGTTCCAAACCAGTATGACTTTCTTCTGTAGAATATAAAAGAAGATATTTTAAGAATTGTCTCCATTTTGGTTACAGTTGACTTCTACTTTATGGACAAAAACTGTTTGGTTGCCCACATTCTTTAAAATATCTGCTGTGTTCCGCAGAAGAAAGTAAGTCATACAGGTTTGAAATAACATGAGGTTGAGTAAATCATGACCAGTCCCGACAAGTTTGATGTTCTGTGAATAATAACTTCAGTTTTGGTTGGTTCCTCATGCAAAGCTGTTGTTTTATGATTCTGTTATAGTGTTTTTCTTGTTCTTGTTCTGAGCTTGACATCAGTGGTCCCTATTTTAGGGTAAACTATTCCTTTAATTTACAGAAAAGCTGTTTTTGTGTTTTAAATCTCTCAAAGAACTGCATGTTATATCTGCCTGGAGAGTATCTATTGAAGTATTTTGAGTCATAGGCACATATGTAGTTTTATTCATTCTGTGAGACAATTTGAGGCTATAATCGTGAAATCGCAGGTATTTGTTTTAGCCCTAAATGATCACATGACTTCTAAACTCAATCGTAAAGGGATAGTTCACCCAAACATTTTAATTCTGTCATCAGTTACTCACCCTCAAGTTGTTCCAAACCTGTATGATTTTCTGTCTTCTGCTGAACACAAAATAATTTTAATTTTAGGGTAATCTATCCCTTAATATGTTATCTAAAAAGATACTATGTTGTCAACTTCTTGCAGCTGCGTGAGTACAGTATAGTCTCATTCCAGGATGGAGGCCTTCAAAATACTGCCTGTGCTGAAGAAGAAACTGGCCTTCCTGTCAGGTAAAGACCAATAATATATATATTCCAAATAATTGGAAGTAGTTTTATTTTATTTTCTGAGTTATTTGCGCAGGCTGGACTCTAAAGGCCCATTCACACCGAGGATAACTATAACGATAACAATAAAGAGATGGTTTTACAATTTTTTTCTAAATTAAGAATATTAGAGTTAACTATAACTAAATACCACAACTACAACCACAGCTCAACAAGCAAAGTCCATTAGACCACCTCTCTGACAGCAATGCCACATATGAAAAATTGCTTGCACTCATATGTTCTTTAACTTATGATAGGATGCCCTTATGTCCACTAGGGCTGTGCTATATGGACAAAAAAAACCTATCGCGATTTCTTTGATCAATTTTGCGATTTCGATTTTAATCGCAATTTTGACACACACAGACATGCTTTACAGTCATTCATGCATTCAGTGTGAATTTGAAACATATTTCCAAAAGAAAACCAATTAGAGCTTGATCAAAAAGCTGTAACATGTCTCTAGAACAGACATAAGGCAAAATAATCACTAAGTAAAGGTGTAACAAAATGTCTCTAGAATAGACATATGGCAGAAAAAAAAAATCCTGTGTCCAGGGATTTTTTTTGCCATGCTGTTAATTTTTACAGCGAATAATGCGCTGTCACTTTAATTCTGCGCGTATAGCACAGCAGAAATAGATTGCGTGCGGAAACGATCGCAGAATGATTGCAGCAGACGCACCGCTCCTGGAGCGCACTGCTGGACCGCAATCGCGTGCGGTGTGAACGCTCTGATCCATTAACATGGGCGCGGACAAAATACGCACCACAGACGGAGTGTGTGAAGTGAACCTGGCGTTACGTTTGTATGCCCGCCCGGTCTGTTCTGTTCTGTTCTCGTGCTCCATTTAGGCGCGCTGCATTCTGATTGGTTCGTATAGCATATTGCGGGAGGTCGGGGGCGCGGAAAATCGTGCTATAAAGCGATTTAGAAATCACGCACGCTCAAATCGCGATTTTATGACGATTTTGATTAATCGCACAGTCCTAATGTCCACCTTATTTTATGTCTTCCAAAACTCAATATTATCAGGATATGAGGCTGCTTTGTCCATTACCTTAGCCTAATGGTTGTATTTTTGTGTCAGCATGGCTCCTGCTTTGAAAAGTCTTCTGAATGATGCTTGCATGTCAACAAGAACATTGGCAAAATGGACTGATAAGTTCTTTAAATCTCTATCATTTGGTTAAGACGCACAGTATGTTTTTTTTTGCAAAGGACTTTGCACTAAATTGGATAATGAAAGATTCTAGGAAAGGAATTACTGAAAAACATTTCATGCTTGGTGTCCTCGAAAGTGCATGTTCCCATAGATGACACTCGACATACTGCGAATTAATTGCAAGTTGCAATGTCATGAGGCTCTACTCCTCCACTAGCTTTTTGTAGTGCGTCTTTTCCTTAAAGCCTCACCGTCTGACACGGTTTTTCCATTTGAACATCATACTTTACTCTGTGCTGCTGGATTTTCTGCATATTTCCTGACTCGGCCTGTTTGGTTTTCCAGGAGGCAAGGACAGGCGCAGTGGTTTGATCCTGACCATCCCACTGTGCACTGAACAGACCAGCATGGAGGAGCTCAGTGCCACTCTGGATTACCTACTGAGTATTCCCAGGTAAAACACCGCTTTGGAAACCTTTCTTGAATGAATGCATCCCTCCATTGCAAAGGCAAGCACCTGTCAAAGCATGGAGAGCAGAAATGAAACATGAATCTGATCATTGTAATTATAATGCACACTGTTACGATCTTCACACATGGAATGGAAAGTGCCCATAATTCATGATCAGACTGTGGTTAGAAGTTGAAAAATTCTTTTATTGATTTCTCCAGACCTTTGAAGGTCTTTCAGGCTTCAAGGCTCTGGAAAGATTTTGCTGTATGTTCTTGTTAGTTTGTCCTTATTACATTTGTGTTTTACTGTGTTGGGTTTTATATGAAATGAATTGGTTCTGATTCTGAATTCCGATTAGATGAAGCACGTCCTAAACCTCTGGATAAATATTCACATTCTGCATTCATGCCAAGTTGCTGTGTTGCTTGGCAACCACAAACTACATACAGAATGAATATATTCTAATTCTTAGGGTTAATTAATGTATTTATTGAACGCTTTGCCTTATGCTTTTGTTGCTGCAGTTTGATAAAAATAAGTCGGCAGAAATCAGCAAAAAAATAAGTCCGAAAATAAATGTTCAGATTTTTGTCGCTATGAATTGTGAATGTCTTTTTACTGTTTATTTATTATACGCAATTCGAAACGAATACTTCAAAATCAGTAAGATTTCAAATCAATTGTGGAGTTGTTAAAATTAAATGTAGACACCACAACATTATAATGTATAGTATAAAAAATAGATATTAGGGATGCTCCGATCCGCCTTTTTTGCCTCTGATACCGATTCCGATACCTAGGGTTCGGTATTGGCCGATACCGATTCCGATCCGATACCAGTGAAGTTTTTTTCCCTAATTTAAATAAATGTAGAATTTATATATCTCTGTGTGTGGAATTGATAATCATTCTTTCACAATCTACTAGATACAGACTACGTCATTATAAAGAAAAATAAAATAAACAAATATGAAAAAATATAGGCCTATGTATATTTATAATCTATGACAAAAATTTATCATAACGAGAAAAATGGCACTATCGGAGCCGATACCCGCTATGAATATCGGATTGGCGCATCCCTAATAGATATTAGAGATGGATATTAATTTTGCTAGACGTTCATGAAGTGTTATTTGATGATTAGTGTTTTTAAAGATTTAAAAGTGAGCATTAGATGAAAAATGTAATCAAAATGTAAACAGTTCAGTATTCATTATTTGATGATACCAATAAATGATAAAAGTCTAATATCAGTCAAAACTGTGAAGAAATGTGGTAATTTCTTGCATCCCTAATTTTTACCTAGGAAAAAAGTTTTATGTACTTGGCATGTGCTTGTGCATGTTTATTATCCATGGTAAAAATCAAGATAAATCACAGTCTCTTATGGCTCATTGCTTTAATCTGATCCTATTATTAAAGAGATAATCATACCCTGAGCTTTAGCGGCCAGTTGAGTTTTGACTAATGTTGAACCTCACATGACTGCTGGCAGTAAGACCATCACTGGTTCTGTAGTCCCTTTTATTTTTCAATGCTCTTATAGTGACCTTCTCCAAATTACTTTCTGGTGACATTTTACTGGGTGAGTTGGCTGTTCTCTTCCCTCAAAGAATGAAAAGAAATGTTGTTCAGGCCTAAAAATGTTTTTTTCTTTTTTCTTTTTAGAAACCAAAATAGTAGCTGTATGATTGAATACATGTTTCTTGGAATCTGTGAGACACTGTGACTCAAACAAACTCAGTTTATTCATTTTTAAAATGCAACCACAGAACAAACAAATTAGTCTGTTCAACAACACCACCACAGTGGAGTCATTGTAATTGATTCATTGTATGTGGACTGACAACATGTGTTTGCCTATCATATGTACTACGCGGCCGAATAAAATGTCATGTTTTTCTGTTGTATCTCTGCAGCGAGAAGTGCAAAGCTCGTGGTTTCACCGTCATCGTCGACGGCAGGAAGTCTCAGTGGAATATAGTGAAGACTGTTGTTCTGATGTTGCAGGTAGGAAAAGAGATTTTTGTTTTATTTGCACGCTTTTGGGTTTTGTTCAGATTGGAGGAAAGCAACAAGGGAGAAGTAGTTTATGTGGAAACGTATGTTCTTGTTTCTTTGACCTCTGGTTCTTGCTTTTTTTCACTAATGGACCCCATTAATATTTGTGGTGATTATTTAAAGAGTGCTTAACTCCCCTCAAATACAAGTAACTTCTGAAGGAATACCTGCAAATAATGAGATTTCAGTGCTATTATGAGAAGCCCATGCAGTGTGTGTTGGCGCCTGGCGGCCTTCCTGGTTTTGTAGAGCGCATTGTGTTGTTGGAAATTTTTTGACTTTGAGCTTTGTTGAGCTGAATGGATGCTTGTTATTTTCTCCTGTTTATGGGACACTACACTGAATTGCTGCTGTAAACTTAGGCTTTTATTTTATATCATTACTTATTATTTGTTCCATCAAAGTCCCAAAATGCAAGTCCAGTCACTAAGTGGCCATCTTGGAAATGCCTCTGGATAGCTATTTTCTAGGCAATAGCAATAAAATATTGAAGACAGTGGTATCATAAATTTCACAGAAATTGTTCTAAAATACTTTCTTCAGGATTGGCCAGCTAAGACACATATTTTGAGTGAAAAACAGGTGGTTGGCTCTTTTAATTGAAAGGTGGGATGTCCTATAGCTCCTGTATTGATTGTTGCAGTTTCTCCCAGTTATTTTAGCTGTGAATAGTCTGTATCCTGTACTGTATCCGAGTCAGAATTACAAAGATTAGAATTACAATTGAATGCCACTTGAGGATAAACTTCCAGCTGGGAAATTTGTGTTGTGAAATTAGTGATGCTGTTGAATGACATTGCACAAACATGGCGACACCCAAGGCAATGCACATAGTAAATGATAAACCGTCACTTTTTTAAACAAATAAAATGCATCAGTGAATTTTTCCTCCCACGTTGAACATAAGTGATCCTCTGTTTATAATGCTACATACACTACACACACACACACACACACACACACTAGCGTAACAGTGTAACACTTCCATTCAAAAATTTGGGTTGTTTTTTATTTTATATATATATATATTTATTATTATTATTATTATTATTATTTACATTTTTTTTAAGAAACAGAACAGCACAGAAATAAAGGATGCATTAAATTGATCAAAAGTGACCGTAAAGACAAGTATAATGTTACAAAAGATTTCTATGATAAGTAAATTATGTTTTATAATAAGCAAATGATGTATCATGGTTTGTAATAGGGCTGGGCGATATAGCTAAAAAAAATGTATCAACGATAAAATGTTTCATATCGCTCGGTATCGATAATTATTGGCATTTTTTCTAACCTTTTTTAAAACAAAGAGCAATAGAAAAAAAAACGTTTAAATTTAACCACTGTATTTTTAAATTAACCCAATTTATTGAGACAAATAACAAATATTTTTTGTTTTAACAGTCACAAAATAAAATTTAAACAGATATATCATTTCTAATGTTTTATATGCAGATTAAATAGGTCTGAAGGAAATGTATGGCTTGTCTCCCGAGGCCACAGGAGGGCGCAATGAGCAAAATAATGCAGCACATTAAATTGCCAACGCTAAGGAAATAACTGTCTATAAAAAAACGTGCATTACGTCTAAATGAACTAATATAAATCAAACATAATTTTGTAAATTGCATAAACAATTATGAACAAAACAGCATCATTTATTTATGCATTGCTTAATACAAAGAGTCGAATCGCCCATCATGCAGATAGCATTTAAAAACATAAGAGACGCAGTGAAAAGGAATAAATCTCCACAAATTTGTGACGTGTTTTCTAAAAGTTTCAACTGTTTTAACTTTGCATGGCTTTTTATACATCTCTTGTGTGAGACGCGAGTGCAGCAGTCATATTTGTCCGTCTAAAAAAATGCGCTAAATATGCATTCTGTGTGAATGGCTTGGTTTCGGGTTTTAACCTAATCAAGATCTTCTACGCATTGAGCTACTATATTTCTCTAATATTTTGAATGAATAACGCAGCAACTGCGCGTCCTGTGGGCTAGACTTAATTCTTTTTTTTTTTTTATTCACAATCTCCTCATCATAGGCAGGCACAGTACTCAATTCAGCATGTTCGTGTTTGTGTGTGCGGTCTGCGTCACTCATAGCACGTGCCTATATCGTGCACTATATCGGAAAAAAAAATTCTATCGTTATCGAAGAGGGTGTACCGTCGATAAATATCGATACCGTTTTATCGCCCAGGCCTAGTTTGTAAACACGGAAACTGTTTTCAGTATTGATAGTAAATGTTTCTTGAGCACCAAATCAGCTTATTATGATTTCTGACACTGAAGACTGGAGTAATGATGCTGAAAATTCAGCTTTTCTATCACAGGAATAAATTACGTTTTAAAATATAGTCAAACAGTTATTCATTTATTTAGTTATGTATTTATTTAAATCATATTACTCTTGTTACTGTTTTTTCAATCAAATAAATGTAGCCTTGATGAGCTTAAAAAAACCTTTTTGTTCTTTTAAAAGCTTAAAGTACTGATCCCAAACTTTTGAACGGAAGTGTATTTTTTTGCAGTTGAGTTATTAAAAAGACCCCTGTTGACTTACAAACACTTACATTTTTGCACTTGTCATTTTGTTTCAGGCATTAGATTTCCTAGATTTCCTGAAGGAAATAGCAGCATGAAGGCAGCATTAAAACAGCATTAGCTTTGAATTTTTATTCAGTTTTGTTGTATTCCTACTTTGAAAGTCGCTGTTGAATTTATTGCAGATATTTGTGAAGAAAAACAATGTTTGAGAAAAATCAATACCTTGTAACATCTAGTTTTTATTAGTTTTAGTCACGTTCATACTCTTTTTAGTCTAGTCAAGTTTTAGTCAACTAAAAGTCTGAGCATTTTAGTCTTATTTTAGTCAGAATTATCCATGACTATTTTCGTCTAGTTTTAGTCGACGAAAACTGATGACATTTAGTCTAGTTTTAGTCAATTCGTCACATGACCAGCATTTACGTTGCGTCTCGTTTTCGTCACGTGATAAAGGTTCGTTGACGACGATATTTAGTCATAATTTTCGTTGACGAAAGCAACACTAGTAACATCCACTTTGAATGGAACACAGCATATGGACTATTTTATTATTGAACCCTAACACATGTTAAAGTTGTTTCTACCTCGTAGATTTGTGTAATTTAGCTCCAACTATTGGTGGTGGAGATGGCAAAGCCTCACCCTGTTCTCTGCTTGACACATCATTTTTTATTTGTGTGTTGTACGTTTGCTGTGTGCAGATAACTTCATTTCAACAGACCTTACAGATGTGATTTAAAAATAGAATGCAGTACTTTTATCTGTAAGCCTTCTCTCCATTTGAGAGCTTTAGGAAATATGACACTATGAGAGTTTATTCTGAAATCAAACTGTCCTTCAGACCAGAAGGTTCAATAAAATTCATCAGTGGATTTTAACATGTTGATTTGGCAGTTATGTTGAGTAAACTGAAAGGTTTGTGTAATCTCTGTCCCCTTATGTATATCAATGATCGATCCATTACTATTGATCAATAAAAAGAAAATGATCACCTCTTATCTTATTTGTTTGTTATTTGCAGCTGGAGGGTGAACTGTGATGTTTTTTCTTTTAGAATGTGATCCCAGCTGAGGTCTCTCTCGTGTGTGTGGTGAAACCTGATGAATTCTGGGACAAAAAAGTGACCCATTTCTGCTTCTGGAAGGAGAAGGACAGGCTTGGCTTTGAGGTAAGTGTGCTAGAAGTGTTTTGTTTTAGTGGACAAAGAGCTACACTTTGACTTAACTGTATTTGACATCAGGCGTGGGCACGTGTACACAAGCACTTGGTGATTAAATATGAGAATATTTGTTACTTCTCAACTCCTAAACATTTCATTTTTCATTTTATGATTGGTTGCAGTGGCATGTTGTGTGGTATCTTGTGGTCTGATTGGTTAAAGGTTGGGACTGCAAATGTATACGGACACTGTTGCATCAGTTTTATTTGTACATTAATCTCACAATATACAAATGGTACCTTTAAATAAACTCTTTAAGTCAAACATTAAAGGGGTCATATGATGCTGCTAAAAAGAACATTATTTGGTGTAATGAAATGTTTATGCGGTTTAAGATTCAAAAAACACATTATTTTCCACATACTGTACATTATTGTTTCTCCTCTATGCCCCGCCTTTCTGAAACGCGTTGATTTTTACAAAGCTCATCGGTCGTAAATACAACTTAACCACTGATTTCTAGTCGTGTCCTCTTTTGTCCAAACAAAGTAGTTTCACTTTCACAACGAAACCGCGTCACACACCGCGGCCTTGAGTGAGCGGAGGCCGGCTTGAGTGAGCAGAGGCGGGCGGGCTTGAGAACGGTGCCAGATCTTCTTTATGCACCAAGAGCTTGTAACACTCCAAAGAGAAAGAAAAAATTGAAATAGCATCATATGACATGAATTCCACAAAATAAACAGGTTAACATCTAGTCAAAAGTTTGGACTCACTACTTGCTCATTTTATTATTACAATGTTCACATTTTAGCATATTGGTAATAATTTAAATGATGTAATATGTTGTTTTATAATACCTTTTTTGAAACAGTTTTTTGTTACGATTATGCAAAAGCTTTTTTTTTTCTGTCAAATAATTTATCTAAACGACCCAAATGCATATTTGAATCTTTCAGTGCTCAAATATTTAATGAAACCTTAATAATTAAACCTCTCCTATTTTTTTTCCTCCAATTTTTTTATTTATTTTTAAAGTTGATTTAGTCACCTCAGCTTTTGTGTTCATCCTAAATGGACCATTTAGAATGGTTCCACTGTGTTTTCCATATGCATCATACCACAGCGTCATCACTTTGTATAGCTGTGCATAATACGATCACACAGACAGTGTATTTAATTAGTAACGCCCAAAGGATCTCATGCGTATAAGTAGGTAATTTCCTGCATTCGCTGTGAATAATGAAACTCCAAATACAGAAGCTGCGCATCTTCATTTACAATGGTCTGGGGCTTCACTGTGAGACTATGTTTTTGTTATTGACACTAATGCAATGGCTTCCTTTCTCATTTATTTGTCAGGGCTCAGAGAGATGTGCTGTGAGGGGAATAAGGTTTTCAGGGCAGTTTTAGGGCTTTAAAGGTCATGAAGCACATTTGGGCATGTCTGAATTAATCATGCTGGGAAACTTTCTTTTTTAGCTTTCAGTATTTTTAATGAGGCTGTGATGTTTAGGCCTCTCTTTTTGTTTTTTCTTTGAGGTCTATTTGTGATGTTAGAAATTAATTTATTACAATTTGATAGTATTCATGTATGACCCCTTTTACATTGAAAATAACTCTGAATTGGTTCTTGGTTGATATTATTTTTACATTCAGTTTACCTTTTTCAGTCATCTAGTGCCCATTTAAAGTTATTCTTTAGTAACTCTATTCATTTAAGAGAATCTTTAGCAAAGTTTCATAGTTTAGATAACTTGCAGAATCTACAAATTGTTTTTATAATAATAATAATTATAATAGTAAGTATAATGTATATTTAAATATTTGTAATTTAATATAATAGTACTAATCATTAATAATATGTAATGCAAATTATAATAAAAATCTATTATTATTTTTATTTATAATAATAGTATATTAATACTAATATATATTATACTAGTATAATAATAATAGTAACTATTTAATACATATTTAATATTATAAATTGAAATCATAATTATTATATTATTATAATATTTACAATAAAATAAATACATATTTAGATTTTCTATATTGTCTTATTGGAATTGGTCTGAATAGTACTTGTAGCATGTAGTAAGTGTTTAAATAACTATACAAGGGAATGTTTCAAATGGGTTGGTTTGGATCCTTCACTTTAATAGATCTCTGCATTTCATCATCTCTCCTGTAATATCATAAATTAGAGCAGACTGCAGTGTTTCCTCCTAATTGGGCCATGAAGAAAATGGGTAAAGTTGGCAGCCGGTGGCATTTGTGTTAAATGGGCAGCCCTCTGGAATGCACTTTAGGAGCAGGAAATGGGCTGTATGTGAACGTAACGGTAACATGATCGTGCTAATGTGCACTACACTACAGTATGCAGCCATTAATAGTATGTGCACTGATGAGGCCTGGCCTCAAACCGCATACACATTTGTCTGGCCATCTTGCTCCGTGCCCTCACTGGGCATTTACCAATGATGCCATGTTGCCTGACAACCATCACATGGATCCCGCCAAGAGCTGGATGACGTGTTCAGAAGGACAGTTGAACCACTGTCTCCTAAATGGAAACCTCTGTATGTGTATGTTTGTTGGGGTCAGTGTGTTGTTTGCTCTGTGATCTGGGCCAGCAGGCCCCTCTAGCTGCCTACAACTACCAGATGGCACAGTTTTTTTTGGCTGAATGGAGGTTAGTGTATCAGCATTAAGAAGTGGAGGCTTGAATACAGAGACTATGAAATCGGTCATTAACATACTCTTGACCTACTTGAGGATCCATACTTGAATGGGGTGTTTGTATGTGCAGCCGATCGCTGAGGTGCACGAGGACCGTACGCTCTGCATTAATCATTCTGCCCTAGAACCTCTTCATCACTGACGCTTGGCCAGGCATAAGTGAGCATATGGGAAGGAAAAGACCCGGAGGTCTTATTAAATAAGTGGATCCTCTTTCACTGCCACTTAGGGTCCATGGGACCATCTGTTACAGGACTGCACATTTTTTTATGCTTATTGCTGATTTTTCTTTCCTTTAAGGAGTTCAAGAAGCTGATGCAGAGATCCACTTTCCTTTAAAACAAAGGGAGTTGATAGCGGTAGACTTATAGACTATCTGGAAGAATTTTCAATCATATTTTTGATTTCAGCCAATTGTTGTATTATTGACATCTGGCAGCAGAGGCTAAGTGGATCATGCTAACCAGTCAAATCTTGACCCATTGATTTATTTATTGAGCAGGTCAGTTTTGACATTTTGAATCTCATTGCATTAGCTGACGACTGTATTGGCAGCCATTGACGTGTGTGTGTGTGTTTGTGTGTGTATATATGTATGTATGTTTAAAGTTTGTTTAAAGTAACTTAAAGCTTTTGTGTGAAACTTAATTGCTGTAATACATGCGCATTATATCAGCCAAATTTTTTAGTTTGTGTATAGCATTATTTACTCGGGTGTTGTTAAGTACAGTTTAACCACTAGGAACAGTTTAAAAAAAAATTTTTTTTTTTTTCTTCTCCCTAATTTCTCATTAGAAACAACTTATCTGAACAGTACTGTTCAAATCTTTGGGTCAGTAAGATTGTTTGTTTCTTTGTTTGTTTTGAAAAACATCTCTTATTATCACCAAAGCTGCATTTATTTGACACTGTAAAATACTATTATTGTGAAATATTATTACAATATCAAATAATTTTCTGTGTGAATGTATTGTAATATGTAATTTTAGTCCTGTGATGCAAAGCTGAATTTTCAGCATCATTACTCCAGTCTTCAGTGTCACATGATCCTTCAGAAATCATTCGAATATGCTGATTTGATGCTAAAGAATAATATCTCTTATTATTATCATTGTTGAAAACCGTTAAAAACCTGCTTAGTCTTTTTGTGGAAACTGTAATACTTTTATTTTATTTTTTATTTTTTTCAGAATTCTTGGAATAAATTTACAAGAACAGCATTTATTACTTTTATAATTCTTTTTCAAATATTGCAAACATCTTTGTTACTTTTGATCAATTTAATGCGTCCTTGCTGAAGTTGCAAGGTGACCAGAATGCGAGCTGCTTTGGGGGACTGTATTGATCAGAGAGCTTTAGCAGATGCAGTGTTTAATCTCCTCCAGCTAACCTTGCAGATGTGAGGGCACAGCTGGCACACATCCAAGCTGTTCCGGGTCACTGTGCGTGAAGAGCATTTCAAAGAGTTCACGGTACTTTGATTAAATGGATTAAGAATTTGGTGAGCAGATGGCTTTTAAAAGGCGTAGTACACCCCAAAATGAAAATTCTGTCGTTTATTTACCCACATGTTGCACTTGTATGTTTTTTTTTTTTTTTGTTCCTTAAACGAATCGAGGGCACAGCTGGCACACATCCAAGCTGTTCCGGGTCACTGTGCGTGAAGAGGATTTCAAAGAGTTCACGGTACTTTGATTAAATGGATTAAGAATTTGGTGAGCAGATGGCTTTTAAAAGGCGTAGTACACCCCAAAATGAAAATTCTGTCGTTTATTTACCCACATGTTGCACTTGTATGTTTTTTTTTTTTTTTTGTTCCTGACACGAATCGAGATCAGATGTCAAGCCTCAATAAGGCTTCTGAAATTATATGACAGCTTTGTGTGACGACCGATCATTTCACTGGTAATTTTCCTCTCTGCTGTAGCTCTTAAATCTCATTCCGTTACAATATATGCAAGAATCAATGGTAGGGATGTAACGATTCACTCAACTCATGATTCGATTCACGATTCGATTTGATTGCCGATTTTTTTTTTTTTTTGTACAAAATGAGATTTAAGACCAATTATAAAATTATAAACTCCTACCCCTAAATGAATCGCGATTTGTTTAGCATCTCAACCGATTTAAATCGATTTGAATCGATTTTAAACCGGTTCGCGGTTAATCGTTACATCCCTAATCAATGGTGTCAACGACATCAAAACTGCTGTTGTTTGATGTGCCTTAATTGCGATTAATCGCATCCAAAATAAAAGTTTGTTTACATAATATATGTGTGTACTGTGTATATTTATATGTATAGAAAATACACATACATGTCTATATTTAATAAATATACAGTATGAAATATATCTATATGCATGTAAATATTTGTTTACATGTATATAGATATATTACATATATTTATTAAATAAGATATATTGCATATATTTAATAAATTGTTATTTGACATTTCAATTTCACAAACAAATTTGCAGCCCTTTGAGAAATAATAAAAGGGCACCTTTTCTTTTATTTATCTTAAATGTCATTTTGTTAAAATTGTGAGAAAATTGTATCGTGAAACAAGTATAGTGAATCGTAACGCATTGTATGTTGAGTGAATGTAGTACACACACATACATATATGATTTGAGAGTTGCAGTGGAGGGAAAGATTATTAGTGAATAGTTTCAGTCTGTTCTAGGGCTGCACAATTAATCAAATTTCTAATCGCGATTACAATTATGGATGCCACAATTACGTAATCGTTCAAAGCAGCAATTAATCGTTCAAAGTCCACTTATGTTATTCTGCATGCTTAAGATGCGTTTTTTTCTTTCTAGATGTTATCTTAAGGGTTTTTTCCCATTATTTGAATTTTAGTTTTAGTATAACATTATAATACAATTCATATTTGTACTTTTTTTATAATTTTAAAGAAGAAACCAATCCGATGTATATTTGACATTTGAGGCTTAATACTATAGAAAAGCACTAAAGGCTTTTCAGTTAGTGTTTTCAGCTTGTTTATTTTCATATAAATATACGGCATGCCGTTGCATTAAACAATGGTATAAACATCATTCAATCGCAATTACAATTTCAAGGGAATAATCGACAATTATGATTTTTTTTGGTCATAATAGTGCAGCCCTAGTCTGTTCATCACACAGATAATGGATGGTTTCAAATAGATATTGTAGAAATAATATGGACTATTTGTAAGGGTGCTTCTCTATCTTTTTTTTTTATTTGTTGGTTTATGTATTTTTGTTATTTCTTGTTTCAATGAAAAAATAACAGCTTACACATCTGGAGGATGGGTGGTGGCCGCATTGTTATTTTTGAGTGAACTTTTCCTTTTAAGGCTTCTGCGAAAGGTGTTGAGTTTTTTCTTTAGTTTTCTGTCTTTTTAGTTTCTCTGCACACCTTCCATCAAATCTGGATTTGCAATGATGTCATGACAGGAGATAAGACGAAATACAGTTCAAAAGCTTTTATGCTCAAACTCCATTTTAGTATCTGCCACAGAAACTTCACAGCTCAAAACAAGGCTTTTTAGATGCGAGAACTCCTGTTTGTGAAACTGACATGAAACAAACCTCACTGTGGCTCATACTTGAAGAGGCTTTTTTTCTCAAACTGTCCCAGGCAGACGCCCCTGACATCCTGTGAGTAATGTACCCCAGATATTATGAATCCAAAATATTTTTCCCTGTCTCCTCTATGCTGGAACGCGGGCCGGACTTGTTTGCAGCGAGGCCTTGTCCCTCCGTCCCTCGTGTTGACTCAGCTGAACATATTTGTAAAGACAGCTGTGCTGTCTCTCTTCCTGTCCACACACCAAAGTCTCCTCATTTTTGAGACCGCATACATAAAGCACAGACATAGTAATGATAAACATTTGCATTTAAAGCATGACATAACCTTCTACCTCTAAATTCTGATTTGATGAGCCTCATTCTCGTTGAATTAATGTTGTTATCCTTTTGCATTAATGACCAGCTGATACATTTATCCCGCTTATTATATGACTACATACCAATTAAGTAAGTAAATAGACATGAAATATTGATTTAAGCTGGTTATCTGAAAATAAAGAGACCACTGAGTGGTATGAGGGACATCAGTAAAATATATAGGTTATTAATCATTATAAAGAATGTATTCATATTAATGTATTATTATTATTATTATTATTAATAATAATAATATGTCAGATTATTATTATTATTTTTTATATATATTTTGTTTGAACACCAGTTTCTTACACTATATGACCATTTAAACAAAATAATAGTTTATTTGCCATATGGAATTTATAATAATAATAATAAAAAGTAATAATAAATTATTATTGTTATATAGTATTAATATTACTATTATTATTAGTTATACTATCGTTCAAAATTTTGGGATCAGAACGATTTATGTTTTCTTAAAGGAGTTTCTTATGCTCATCAAAGCTGCATTTATTTGTTCAAAAATACAGGAAAAAATCTAATGTTGTGAAATATTATGATGTAAAATAACGTTTTTCTATTTTAATATACATTAAAATCAAATTTATTCCTGTGAAAAAAGTATAGCAGTTTCCAAAAAAATATTTGGCAGCAAAACTGCTGCCAACATTGATAATTATAATAATAAATCAGCATATTAGAATATTTTCTGAAGGATCATGTGACCCTTTATACTGGAGTAATGGCTGATGGAAATGCAGCTTTGCATCACAGAAATAAATTATATTTTAAAAGATATTAAAATAGAAACCATTATTTTATATTGTGGATCAGCAAGAAAAGAAAAATATTTCAATTTAACTTTCCATTTTTTACTTAAAGCGAATACTTCTTTGATACCACAGCAAATACTACTAGATTAGCTAAGAAAGTTTGAACATGATTAAAGAGAAAAGAGAACAGCCGGTAAAAATAAGAACAAATACACAAATTACAAGCATAGATAAATACAACAGAATATGTTACAAATAAAATAAGGTTGGTAGTATTCAAATACAGAAATGTAATAATTAGGGAAAATAACACTGCATAGTGTTCACTGTATAAATTAAATATAGATTTTTATCACAGCTGTTTTGTTGTTTGATAATCATTAATGACAGCAGCAGTATTTATAGGCCGCTGTCCCTTTAAGACCCGATGCACGGATCCGATATAATGATACACTTCACCTCCGATTTCTTTCTCAGCTGTTTTCATTCACTTGAGATATAACTGACTTTTACCTGAATGATTAGGGTTTACCTGAATGATTGTCGAGATGGGAATTTTGTCATAATTTTATGTGTATGTGTCTGTTCAGAGGATTCAGAATGTGTATGTATCATCAATTGTCATTATACAGTGATAATAATAATAGTCAGATATTGTTATAGTATTATTTTTTTTAAGTATTTAATTTGGACATCAGCCTTTAAGCTGAATTATTTTATGTCTAAGGAAAACAGTCAAGTATAGTTCATTTGTCAAATAGAATTTATAATAATAATAATGTGTTTTGTTTTTTTTTTTGTCATTATACAGAATTAATAATAATAATCGTTGTTGGTGTTAGTATTATTGTGATGTTACAAAAGCAATAAGTCAAGTATGTCTATTACATGTGCTACAGTTTTTTTTTTTTTTTTTTAAACCAAAGATAAGTACTTAGTATAATTATATAGTATAATAAGTATAAGTGTTCTTAGGCACAATGTAAAGTAGATTATTAAAATTTTGATGCTCATGATTATTAAATATCTGGCTGTGTAACCCCTTCTTATCATATTCAATTTACAGTATATACAGGTGCATCTCAATAAATTAGAATGTCGTGGAAAAGTTCATTTATTTCAGTAATTCAACTCAAATTGTGAAACTCGTGTATTAAATAAATTCGA